TCAGCTCTTCAGATGGCCGGCAGGAACCATGGATGAAGTGTGCATCTCCTCTCTGGATCGCCACACTAAGGCGCTGAAAGAGGAAACTTGCGGGTCTAATGTCTCTTGTTATTTCAATTAGCTGAAAACCCACCTCCTTCAAAAGCCTAGCAGCACTTGTACCCCAGGCACCAAGTGTCTCTGAGGCAATTGGGGCAAAATTGTAGTGTTAAGCAAGATCTATATATTTACGAAACTTGGCTGCTTCCCGGTGATTGACAGCACCGCCTGGATGTGCAACACTGAAGTCAACATAGGTGTTGGTTAAAGTTGAAACACAAGTGTAGTCCCACACCAACTGTCCACCAATCTTTCAGGGGTTCACCGTGATCCTGTCTGGGCGACCGACAAGCGCGTCAGAGTTGCAGGGCATTCGGTAACGGGGCTCTCTCTCTCTGCTGGACAACCGGCTGTGGTAAGTCTCCTCTTAATAATGTCATTTACCTCACTGTGTCTTGCATGCCATCCTCCTGGGCTTTGGCAGAGAAGACCATGCCGGCCGTACCTGTCGACTGGCCTAGGCCTATATATATATATATATATATATATATATATATATATATATATATATATATATATATATATATATATATATATATATATATATATATATATATAAGCCAGGCCCGATTTGCTTAACCCAAGTTTTCATGAATTTATATATTTTCCTAATTTTTTCTTATGAAATTATAAAGCTATCCAATTCATTACGTATGAGTTCATTTTTTTAATTTGAGTTAAAACTAAGTTAGATATATAACCTAACCTACCTTACCTAACCTACCTTACCTACCTTACCTAACCTCTCTTAATCTAACAAAACTAAGTCAATAATTTATGTTCCTAACATAATATAATAATAGTAATTGAAATAAACCAATTGGAAACAATTTGTTGAAAATAAATTCAAATTCAAATTCAAATGTTTATTCAGGTAAAGTACATACATACAATGTGTGATACAAATATTGATGGATTTATAGATAGAGCTAGTACATACATTGCAAAGAAAATGCAATGCAATAAAGAAAATCACTAGGCCTATTAGGCAAATCGGACCTTGCGTAGTTGGTCGAGAAGTGTGTTCTGGCTACTTTTTTTTGGGAGTAAAGAGGAAGGAGAGGTATAGGTGAAGGGAAGTATAGAAGTGGGAAATACAGTGAGAGGTATGAAAGCAGGCTTTCATACCTCTCACTGTATTTCATACCTCTTTCATCATGTTAGCAGGCTGTCCGCCTTGCTGACACGATGTGTGGGTGTTGGCAGCTAAGCTAAGCTGGCTCCCTCTTGTCAGGGAGCTGTGAGTGTGTGAGAGGTTCTTCACATGTGTTTCACCATATATGGATGTCCATAGATGAATACTGTGTAGCATTCATATATACACACTCCGATGCTTCCACACATGTTATTCTGTTTAATGCTCTTTATTTTATTATTATTATTTATCGAGTTGTCATACATATTATTTCTCGAGTTGTTCATACATACACATATATGAACTGTTCATATATATACATATATAACTCATCTGGGGATTATATACTGTGGGGCGGGGTTTTCGTCCAGAGAATCGAGGCTCTTGGGCCACCAGCTGTGGGAGCGGGGCGTCTCATCTTGGAGTAATCTTTCAAACATTGGGTCCTCTAACATTTCGATGGTGTTCCATACCCTGATGGCTTGGTGCTGCAGTCTGATGTTTAGTGGCTGTATGTTCAGGAGTTCATGGAGCTCCTGGATTGTCTGATCATATGGTGGACGGTGTTTTGCTGCTCTCCTTAGCGCCTTATTTTGTACTGCTTGCAGTTTCTGCATGTTAGTTTTCTTTATGGTGTGTAGTGGTACTGGGGGATATTCTAGATGCGGCCGAACTAGAGCCTTATATAGGTGGATCTGAATGTTAGTACTGAGGCTTCGGAATCTTCTCAGTTTTCCTAATGCTGCTTTGGCTTTGTTTAGTCGGTCCCTTACATGAATTTGTATCCCTGTTCTATTTATCATAAGTCCCAGTATTCTGCCTACCTCCGCATATTGGATCGGCTGGTTATCAAGGATGATGGGGTCCGGGTTTCTTTTCGCAATGTGTATTATTTGGAACTTTTGTTTGTTGGTGCTAATTTTCCATTGCTTCTCAAAGTTGTTTATGAGTTCAATTGCTGCCTTGGTCTTGTCGGCTAGTAGCGGCTTTGATGGACCCGGTTGGCATATTATTTGGGTATAATAGTACCTAGCCGCCTCCTGGCTACTAGGTACGACATATATTAAACAAAAAATTATGAAAAAAAATGTATATGTATTTAAAAAAATGTGTATATATATATATATATATATATATATATATATATATATATATATATATATATATATATATATATATATATATATATATATATATATATATATATATATATATATATATATATATATATATATATATATATATACATTTTTTTTAAATACAGTGACCAGTTCATCGCACAATTGATGAAATTGACCCGGTGGTTCAGACACACAAAAATGTACACTCACAGTATGCAAATATTACGGATTTGGTCTGAAGAGAAGTGAGTTGTCCACGACTCAAAGGGCAGCATCCATCAATGAGAAGTATACAATTGATGTCTTGGACTGCCGCTGACCCAACCCCCTCATAACCGGTTCCATCTGTACACAATAGCAGAGACAGCTGATCTTCCCCCCGGAGCCCCAATACACCTCTGATCTAAAACCCAATGTGTTCGTCTATTTCCTTCGGCTTCGTGTCTGAACGCACCCGCCATTCGCGCCCTTTTCCGCCAGACACCATCTGGTTGACTACCAGAGGCCCCTGCAGGGCCAAGTAATATACGATTAGTGTGTATAAAACTACATATCCAAATTCCCTCTTCCCCCATCGCTCCCCCCCACACAATTGAACGTATTTCCCCCCCCCCCAAGCTAGTCTCTGGTGCGTGAAGGAGTGGACACAGAGAGTCGATCAACCATGTCACTCAGACCTTAGAAAAACGACCGCCTCCTCACGCCCCATTGGCTACCTGCGCCCCCGTGAGCGCTCGCTTGTAACCCTTTTGAGATCGTTCCTGTGATGTCGGGGAGCCGGCGAGAGGGTCCAGGCTGCTCCCTGCTTGACGGGGGTCGCCGGCCCTCCTGCACGCACACACACATATACACACATTCACACACAAATACACACACACACACACACACACACACACACACACACACACACACACACACACACACACACACACACACACACACACACACACACACACACACACACACACACACGCACACGCCCATTTATACAGGCATGCATTGGTTCATCTTGGTTGAGTGGACAGCGCTCGGGGGTCGTTGTCCAAGGCCCGGGCTCGAATCCCGGTCGAGGCAGAACCAAATGGGCAAATTCTTTCACCCTGATGCGCCTGTTCACTTAGTAGTAAATAGGTATCGGTAATTAGGCAGCTGCTACCGTCTGCTTCTTGGGGATGTGTGTGTGTGTGTGTGTGTGTGTGTGTGTGTGTGTGTGTGTGTGTGTGTGTGTGTGTGTGTGTGTGTGTGTGTGTGTGTGTGTGTGTGTGTGTTAAAGAGAAACATAAGTGGCAGATATAATACAGGAAAAAATATATTGGTGTGAAAGGCGGGGTCCAAGAGCTAATAGCTCGATTCTGTAGACACAAATAGTAAATACACACACACATGGGGCACATGTTATCCACATATCTGTGATAGGGAGCCCCACAAATGGGGCCGCGGACGGCTATTCAGCCTTAACATGTACAAAAACCTACGGAAATCGAGAAAAGATCATTTCGATAGAATTTTAATTATAATCCGAATTTCTTTCAGTCTACCTCACGCTAAATGCCTCTCGTTAAAGAAATTATGAAGTGGTTACTGGCTCCTGGAGGACCAATCAGCGCTCACGGCCTCCCAGAGAACAATATGGCTGTCAGCTGGAGGGCTAGGCGCTGCCCTCGTGGCTCACAGACATATATTTCCCCACAGCTGTCTTCCCAGACCCTAACGCAGTAAGCCCGAGGTAATAACGAGTTCTCTCTCTGCAACAAAACACTCTCGTTCGTATAACAAAGTCAGAACACAGGATAAAACCCAACTATGGAAAAATTACGAAGAATGTAGACATGTGGAAACGAGATGGTGACGCGGCAACCAGTCTGTCAATCACCGCATCAACAAAGGGCGATTACGGCCGTCAAACAAAGAGACAAATGATTTAAAAGAGACAAATCAGGGGTAGCAAGTAGGAATAATATGTTAGGAAAGCGTAATTAATGAGTGGCCAGAAACAGGGACCATTGTTTCTGAGCGTGGAGCTCCGCGTCCCGAGTTGTTCCCAGGCTTGAATGGCCGCGCTGCAGGACACGCTGGCCGCCCCCCCCCCCTTACCCTCCACCTCCGATATTTCATATTAATTCATAATGTAATTAACAAAATAAGTTAATCTAACTATAACCATTCACATTATATACATAACATGAAGCAAGATGGAGTACGAAAGCTCATCTATTTGATCAGGAAAGTCCATTAATAAACCCGAAGTACAGGAGTAAACGAGCCTTTGAAGAAGAGAATGAGAACTCGGAACTTGGATAAGGACGCCTCGACGACACTTCGCGGTTCTTGAAGAATTCTTCATATTCTTGAGGATATGAAGAGGTGGGGCGAGACACAGGTGCCCACGATACTGGAGCCTAAGACAAAAGCACATTTCACACGACTACGCAGATTCTGGCTGTCAATCACCGGGTGAAACAAAGCAAAGATTGATGAAGAGAGTAGCAGCCGCACAACCCACTCTGGAGCCCTGCCTCTTGCTCCCTCCTACTAGAACAAACCTCTATTATGTTCCCCACCTCACTCCTTCACATCTTGGACTGAACGCCAGAAACGCTCCGAGTTCAGGTACGTAGATAAGTTTTAGTCCTTGATGAACGTCTTCAAGGGGCTGGGTGTCTCATGTTTCCAAGAGGTTCCTTGATGCGGGTAGGTCGGTCAAGAGGTCCCCTGATGCGGGTAGGTCGGTCAAGAGGTCCCTTGATGCGGGTAGGTCGGTCAAGAGGTTCCTTGATGCGGGTAGGTCGGCCAAGAGGTCCCTTGATGCGGGTAGGTCGGCCAAGAGGTCCCTTGATGCGGGTAGGTCGGCCAAGAGGTTCCTTGATGCGAGTAGGTCGGCCAAGAGGTCCCTTGATGCGGGTAGGTCGGCCAAGAGGTCCCTTGATGCGGGTAGGTCGGCCAAGAGGTCCCTTGATGCGGGTAGGTCGGCCAAGAGGTCCCTTGATGCGGGTAGGTCGGCCAAGAGGTCCCTTGATGCGGGTAGGTCGGCCAAGAGGTCCCTTGATGCGGGTAGGTCGGCCAAGAGGTCCCTTGATGCGAGTAGGTCGGCCAAGAGGTCCCTTGATGCGAGCAGGTTAGCCAAGAGGTCCCATAATAAAAACAGGCCGAGCATCTTATAATACCCCCCCAAAAAGACAGTTAACCTTACACAATCATCAACTCTCAAGACGGATCACCGAAAACACACAACCAAACAAATGAATTAATACATACAGATGACTAGCGAACCATCCCAGCAACCCCCCCCCACACACACACACATTCTCCAAAGCTCCTCACAGACTCTGAAGACTTATAATAGGATCTACTGCGTAGTTATCCTTGCTTTACGACGCTTCCATTGTTCGTCTCGGGGGCCCCCGAGGGCTTCTTCCCGCGCTCTCTAAGACATGCCAACCTCCTCCTCATCTCATGTTATTTGCAAAATTAAACAGATATTTATACCTTGACTTAGTACCCCCTAAATATATGCACGAAGGAACAGCTTTAAGCAATATTTCTGAAATGTTCAATGAACTAAATATGAACATAAAATAATATAATTGTTATTAAGGTTAATAACCATACGGTCGTTCCAGGACCCCCAGCACCAAGCCTCACCAGGACCCCCAGCACCAAGCCTCACCAGGGACCCCAGCACCAAGCCTCACTAGGGACCCCAGCACCAAGCCTCACCAGGGACCCCAGCACCAAGCCTCACTAGGGACCCCAGCACCAAGCCTCACCAGGGACCCCAGCACCAAGCCTCCCCAGGACCCTCAGCACCAAGCCTCACCAGGGACCCCAGCACCAAGCCTCACTAGGGACCCCAGCACCAAGCCTCTCCAGGGACCCCAGCACCAAGCCTCCCCAGGACCCCCAGCACCAAGCCTCACCAGGACCCCAGCACCAAGCCTCACCAGGGACCCCAGCACCAAGCCTCACCAGGACCCCCAGCACCAAGCCTCACCAGGACCCCAGCACCAAGCCTCACCAGGGACCCCAGCACCAAGCCTCACCAGGACCCCCAGCACCAAGCCTCACCAGGACCCCAGCACCAAGCCTCCCCAGGACCCCCAGCACCAAGCCTCACTAGGGACCCCAGCACCAAGCCTCCCCAGGACCCTCAGCACCAAGCCTCACCAGGGACCCCAGCACCAAGCCTCACTAGGGACCCCAGCACCAAGCCTCTCCAGGGACCCCAGCACCAAGCCTCCCCAGGACCCTCAGCACCAAGCCTCACCAGGGACCCCAGCACCAAGCCTCACTAGGGACCCCAGCACCAAGCCTCTCCAGGGACCCCAGCACCAAGCCTCACCAGGTACCCCAGCACCAAGCCTCACCAGGGACCCCAGCACCAAGCCTCACCAGGACCCCAGCACCAAGCCTCACCAGGACCCCAGCACCAAGCCTCACCAGGACCCCAGCACCAAGCCTCACTAGGGATCCCAGCACCAAGCCTCACCAGGACCCCCAGCACCAAGCCTCACCAGGACCCCAGCACCAAGCCTCACCAGGGACCCCAGCACCAAGCCTCACTAGGGACCCCAGCACCAAGCCTCACTAGGGACCTCAGCACCAAGCCTCACCAGGACCCCGGCACCAAGCCTCACCAGGGACCCCAGCACCAAGCCTCACTAGGGACCCCAGCACCAAGCCTCACCAGGGACCCCAGCACCAAGCCTCACTAGGGACCTCAGCACCAAGCCCCACCAGGGACCCCAGCACCAAGCCTCACCAGGACCCCAGCACCAAGCCTCACTAGGGACCCCAGCACCAAGCCTCACCAGGACCCCAGCACCAAGCCTCACCAGGACCCCAGCACCAAGCCTCACCAGGACAACCAGCTCCAAGCCTCACTAGGACCCCCAGCACCAAGTCTCACCAGGACCCCAGCACCAAGCCTCACCAGGACCCCCAGCACCAAGCCTCACTAGGGACCCCAACACCAAGCCTCACCAGGGACCCCAGCACCAAGCCTCACTAGGGACCCCAGCACCAAGCCTCACCAGGACTCCCAGCACCAAGCCTCACCAGGACCCCAGCACCAAGCCTCACCAGGGACCCCAGCACCAAGCCTCACTAGGGACCCCAGCACCAAGCCTCACCAGGACTCCCAGCACCAAGCCTCACCAGGACCCCCAGCACCAAGCCTCACCAGGACCCCAGCACCAAGCCTCACTAGGGACCCCAGCACCAAGCCTCACCAGGGACCCCAGCACCAAGCCTCACCAGGGACCCCAGCACCAAGCCTCACTAGGGACCCCAGCACCAAGCCTCACCAGGACCCCAGCACCAAGCCTCACCAGGACCCCAGCACCAAGCCTCACTAGGGACCCCAGCACCAAACCTCACCAGGACCCCAGCACCAAGCCTCACCAGGACCCCAGCACCAAGCCTCACCAGGACCCCAGCACCAAGCCTCACCATGGACCCCAGCACCAAGCCTCACCAGGACCCCAGCACCAAGCCTCACTAGGGACCCCAGCACCAAACCTCACCAGGACCCCAGCACCAAGCCTCACCATGGACCCCAGCACCAAGCCTCACCAGGACCCCAGCACCAAGCCTCACTAGGGACCCCAGCACCAAACCTCACCAGGACCCCAGCACCAAGCCTCACTAGGGACCCCAGCACCAAGCCTCACCAGGGACCCCAGCACCAAGCCTCACCAGGACCCCAGCACCAAGCCTCACCACCACACAGATGGCTTCACTGGGGACCAAAATAAGAACTCTCATTGTGACCAAAAGAAAATTACAGAAAAAAATAGAACTGAAAGAGGAAAAAAAAAGATCTTCCCCCCCCTCGGGGCAATTTTAGACCAAGATCAAATAAAACAGGAAATCAAAAGCAGAATTGATAATAGTAATAATGGGAAAACTGATAATTGAGGTGAAATGAAAGGGACAATAGACCGAAACCCGGTAAAAGAATCCCCGGGCATCGAACCGGGTCGGCTCGGGCATCACCCCGACCTCTTGATTCGGGTCCCGAGTAAAAAAAAAATAAAAAAGGTGAAATTTCTGGATATTCGTGAATGGAGTTATTGATTACTTTTTTTATTGGTAAAGAGACGGAGTGCAGCTACTCTAGAGGGAGATGATGGGTGTTCGGCGTGTGTGTGTGGGGGGGGGAGGGGATCGGTTATGCGGGCGATTTATTGAGGGAGAGTTTTATTTCTCTGTTTACATTATTGGATGACTGTGTGTGTGTGTAGTTACAGGATGAGAGCTACGTACGCTCGTGGTGTCCCGTCTTCCTAGTACTCTTTGTCGTATAACGCTTTGAAGCTACTGACGGTCTTGGCCTCCACCGCCACCTTCTCACTTAACGTGTTCCAACCGTCCAGCTCTCTGTTTACAAAAGAAAACTTTCTAATATGTTTTCCGGCACCCTTGTTTCGTTACCTTGAGTCTGTGTCCTCTTGTTCTTGAAGTTGTGGGAGTGACACACTGGGTGTGGTTGTGGGAGTGACACACAGGGTGTGGTTGTGGGGGTGACACACTGGGTGTGGTTGTGGGAGTGACACACTAAGTGTGGTTGTGGGAGTGACACACTGGGTGTGGTTGTGGGAGTGACACACTGGGTGTGGTTGTGGGAGTGACACACTGGGTGTGGTTGTGGGAGTGACACACAGGGTGTGGTTGTGGGAGTGACACACAGGGTGTGGTTGTGGGGGTGACACACTGGGTGTGGTTGTGGGAGTGACACACTAAGTGTGGTTGTGGGAGTGACACACTGGGTGTGGTTGTGGGAGTGACACACTGGGTGTGGTTGTGGGAGTGACACACTGGGTGTGGTTGTGGGAGTGACACACTGGGTGTGGTTGTGGGAGTGACACACAGGGTGTGGTTGTGGGGTTGACACACTGGGTGTGGTTGTGGGAGTGACACACTAAGTGTGGTTGTGGGAGTGACACACTGGGTGTGGTTGTGGGAGTGACACACTGGGTGTGGTTGTGGGAGTGACACACTGGGTGTGGTTGTGGGAGTGACACACAGGGTGTGGTTGTGGGGGTGACACACAGGGTGTGGTTGTGGGGGTGACACACTGGGCGTGATTGTGGGAGTGACACACTGGGTGTGGTTGTGGGGGAGACACACTGGGTGTGGTTGTGGGAGTGACACACTGGGTGTGGTTGTGGGAGTGACACACAGGGTGTGGTTGTGGGGGAGACACACTGGGTGTGGTTGTGGGGGAGACACACTGGGTGTGGTTGTGGGAGTGACACACAGGGTGTGGTTGTGGGGGAGACACACTGGGTGTGGTTGTGGGAGTGACACACAGAGTGTGGTTGTGGGGGAGACACACTGGGTGTGGTTGTGGGAGTGACACACAGGGTGTGGTTGTGGGAGTGACACACTGGGTGTGGTTGTGGGAGTGACACACTGGGTGTGGTTGTGGGGGTGACACACAGGGTGTGGTTGTGGGAGTGACACACTGGGTGTGGTTGTGGGGGAGACACACTGGGTGTGGTTGTGGGAGTGACACACAGGGTGTGGTTGTGGGGGAGACACACTGGGTGTGGTTGTGGGAGTGACACACAGGGTGTGGTTGTGGGGGTGACACACTGGGTGTGGTTGTGGGAGTGACACACTGGGTGTGGTTGTGGGAGTGACACACTGGGTGTGGTTGTGGGAGTGACACTCAGGGTGTGGTTGTGGGAGTGACACACAGGGTGTGGTTGTGGGGGAGACACACTGGGTGTGGTTGTGGGGGAGACACACTGGGTGTGGTTGTGGGAGTGACACACAGGGTGTGGTTGTGGGGGAGACACACTGGGTGTGGTTGTGGGAGTGACACACTGGGTGTGGTTGTGGGAGTGACACACTGGGTGTGGTTGTGGGAGTGACACACTGGGTGTGGTTGTGGGAGTGACATACTGGGTGTGGTTGTGGGGTAGACACACTGGGTGTGGTTGTGGGAGTGACACACAGGGTGTGGTTGTGGGGGTGACACACAGGGTGTGGTTGTGGGAGTGACACACTGGGTGTGGTTGTGGGAGTGACACACAGGATGTGGTTGTGGGGGTGACACACTGGGTGTGGTTGTGGGAGAGGCACACAGGGTGTGGTTGTGGGAGTGACACACTGGGTGTGGTTGTGGGAGTGACACACAGGATGTGGTTGTGGGAGTGACACACAGGTTGTGGTTGTGGGAGTGACATACAGGGTGTGGTTGTGGGGGAGACACACTGGGTGTGGTTGTGGGAGTGACACACTGGGTGTGGTTGTATGACGGTGGTGGACTGGTATACTGGAAGGAAAATTGAGATATCTACCAGTAGTAAAACCATTACAGTTCTGAGATTTTTTTTAAATTGCAAAACGTAAAGTCAGTTACACTTAGAACCACGCCGACACATCCGGTAGCAGCCCCCATGTGACAGGAATTAGTTTACGAAATAATTTAAAACTTTGTTCCGTCCACCCTGCGAGGCTGGCTTGTGTTTTCTTTGATGACAGAAGGGTCCGTTTTCTATACAGGTTTTCGTGTTGATAATAATAATAATAATAATAGTTGGCTGTTTTGGTCGCCAGGTGGTGTGGGCGTCATTGCCCTACCAGTTTTGTTGCCTGCCTGGCTGCGTTGACGTGGCAGTTCTGACATGGGGGGCCATCTTCCTCCTGTTCAGCGTGTGAACTCCGTGGGCCTGGAGTTTACTTGTAAGGCTGGTTATCCGACCATCGAGATGGTGATGTGTGACATGCTTCGTGTTCCGGTGGAAGCTGTTTACGGTGTGGAGCTCGTTTCGGCCCATCGGGTTGTTATTAAGTTCGTGGGGGAGGACGAGTACCGGGACTTCCTCCGTCGGTACGAGGGGCGTACGTTGCCGTTGCCAGACGATGCCGGCTCTGTGGCGATTTCGGACCGCAGTGGTGCCCTGACTTATGTCAGTATCCATGGTGCGCCCCTGGAATTCCCTGATGACCTCCTCCGGCGTTACTTCGGGGGTTTTGGTACTGTTGTCAGCGTGCGGGTGAACACGCTCTCCTCGGGGCGGTATGCTGGGAAGCGTACAAACATTCGCACGTTGGGGATGCGCCTGCGGTCGGATATACCTTCTTCTGTCCGGCTTATGGGGTACTACGTCCGGGTGTATTATGCCCGGCAGCCTCGTACCTGTTTCCGGTGTGGCCTGTTGGGGCATCAGGCTGCCGGATGCTCTGAGGCCCCTGCTGCTCCTGTCAACTTGTTCCGCGACGAGGATTTCCCGCCGCTCCCTCTGGAGGCTGTCTCCGGTGATGTTGATGAGGTGGTGCGCGTCCCGTCTGCTGCTGCAGCTTCCCCGGCGGCGCCTGCCGTTCCTCCGGTTCTTGTCGTCCCTCCTCCGGTTCTTGAGGTACCGTCGGTTGGTCTGCCTGATCCTGTTGCTGTTCCAACTGCTCCCATGGGCCTTCCTGGAGCTCCCTGTGTGACGTCGCTGTCTTCTGATGCTGCGCCTGGCCCTGTGTCCGTGACTCGGGTCCCGGATGTGCTTGGTGCTGGGGTGACTGCGGAGCCTCCTGCTGTGTGTGGCCCGGTTCCTCCTGTGGTAGAGGCTGCTGCCGTCCTGGCGTCGGTTCCTTCGGCTCGTGGTACCCGTGTTTCTGGGTCACTTACCGGCTCGGACGATATCCGGCCGGTGCCCAAACGTTCCCGGCGTTCGTCTTCTTCCTGGGCCGACGTTGGTGACTTCAGTGACTGTAGGGCTTCGGATGTTGACAGTGTGGATACGGATGCGTCGATGTCTCCGCGGTTCGTGGTGGCGGAGGTCCATGTGCCTGCCGGTGCTGGTGCCTGTGTCTCGGACGTGCCTTCGGTTCTTTCTCCGCCGGGGGACTCTCCGCAGTGGGGGGTGGTGGCTTCCGCTGCCAGGGATGGTGTGGACTCTGGTGCTGGGCGTGGCCTGGTGGTGACGTTACGGAAGGATGCGCGCCGTCCGGGTTCCCTGCTGTCGTCTGGTGGTGTGCCCGGGGCCGCGGGTACCCCTGTGGTGCGGGTGCGCGTTGGGGCCCTGGGGGACGTGTTGCCGGCGTCTGTGATGCCACCGGGTCACTGGTCGAAGATTGCCGAGTTACTGCTGTCTGACGGACCGGAGTGCTTTCGTGGGGGGCAGGTTCCCTTCCTGTGGGGGCGAGTGGCGACTTCTCGCCTCATGAGTTCTACCATCTGGGTCCCCAGTTTGCAGGTGTTTGTTGCCCCGGTTCCGGATGTTATGGCGTCCCCGGTGGATGGACGAGACCCTTGGCAATGGGTGCTCTGGGAGGCGTTCAATGTAAGATTCCCGCGGGCCAAGTTCCCGGGCAAGTATGTGCTCTGATTTCTTGTGTATTTGCTCTATGACATGCTGTGTGCCCTTCTGGCTGTTTGTTTGCCCTGTTCTGTTATGTGCTTCTGCCTCTCCCTTTGTGCGTAGCTTTGCCGTGTGGCATATTAGTTTCTAGTGCTTGGCGTCACTCGTTTCGCGTTTTGGCTTAGCATTTCGCCTTTCCTGGCTTTGCGATTCACCCTTCACGGGTACGGCGGGGCGCATCCGATCCCACGATCGTCGTCGCCCCTAACTCAACAACAACAACATAATAATAGTCACACAGAAATCATAATAAAGTGATATATATGAGAAAACCCACTGTGGCTATGAGGTGGATGAGGATTTTCTCAATAATAATAATAATAATAATAATAATAATAATAATGGCCTGGATGATGATGACTTGAGTTTTGAGGCTAAAATCTGCTTTGTTTAAGAAAGCAAAGAATGATGACAATTTATTTAAATTTGTGTAAAGAAAATGGAGTGAATGCAGCATTATCTTTCTTTGTCTAATCCCTCTGGAAGGTTTCCATTTATAGAGAATTGCAACCCTCCCACCCCCCTTCCTCTCTTGGCCACCCCCTCCCTTTCCTCCCGCCCCCCCCCCCACCAAACACCCCTAGACATAATTTTTATTTTAAGGAAGTAGAGTATTTATTGCCCCCCAAACATTGATCATTTGGGAAAATCATTTTCATTAAAATCTAAAAGTTTCTATATGTTTAGGATCTATTATATGCAGGGACAACTATGTCATATTTTCTGATATAAAAATACGAATTTATTCAATACCAAATTTGGAAAACTAGCTCATATTTGGTTATACTCGATAGATTTTGAGTATGCTCTATTTAAAGCCTGCACTTTGCTCGCTAATGTATGCTGTATTCTGCCCCCTTGTGTTGTATTCCAACTGTTGTTAGATTAGACATTATTATTACGACTCACGAGGATGACATTTTTTTTTAATGTTAACATTTTTGTTGAGTCCGGAGAGTGTAGCGTCTTGCAGTACAAAAGCAGACATGCGAAGTGGTCGTCAAGAGACCATTCTACCAACATTATGGGCCCAAGAGTTGTCAACACTCTCCGTCTCACCATAAAGGAGGCATAACTGGCCGGCCTTTCACCATGTTCCATGAAGAATTTGATAAACACCTCCATAGGATACCCGGCTGTGATTTATATAAGTCGGGCGGTGAGTAGTGGAGTCTTACAGTCTGGTTGACCAGACAACCACCTTGTTAGATACGGGACCACCAGATAATTGGTCATCGGAACGAGTTCAAGGTTTAAGGGAGAAGGAATATTACAACACATATGAACTGAGAAACGCATAACTTGGAAATACTCTCGAGCACTGAGCTTGTGAATGGCAGCTGGAAGGTTAACGAGTACGTTAGAGCCGGATACACAGGCTAGACACAGTCCCAACACCACATAACTGACATGATTCCTTGTCCGGAACAGTGGCAGTAGAACTCCAACTGTTAACACAATTACTCCACAGACACATCTAGATGCGTCAGACCTCACGTCTGCAGCCCACAGACACGTCTAGATATGTATTTCATTATTTTGTATTTTGTATTTGAAGTTTATTATTTATTCATTATGAAAGTACAGATGTTGTTTATAAATGAACTTTGGAATAAAAATCACACTTTATACTTTATACATTTATGGATTCCACATCCACAGGAGCCTCCGCTGGAGGGAGCGTCCACAACACCCACGCTGGCTCCCGTGGGGCCTAGAGGCAAAGTATTTTGTACAAGAAATAATCCACTAGTGTGTCTCCAGCTGGAGATGGACATATGTTTTCAGTACAGAGAAACATTGAAGACAACTTCTACTGGATCTGAAACTACAGTTTAGGAGCGCACAGCGCCACTCGAGGCTATTAGTAGGCCAGCCAGAACGAGCACCACGCGAGGCTATTGGAAGACGTGCCAGAACTCGCATGCGAACTCGCATCTGCGGGTAATGGAGTCGAGGGTGGCCACCGGCTGTGGTTCTTCTTCGTTCCTGCTAGCGTGAGAGGGTAGCCGAGGACCTGCTGGGGTGCTGGACAAGTTTCGAAGAGGCTGTGAGGGATGAGCACAAGAAATATCGCGCGTGTGGGCCATCGTTCCGAGTTACTACAAGCTTGGTACTGAGGATTTTGATATGTGTTGATGCCTTCGGTATTGTGTCTTCTTTAAGGGTGTTCCAGAGGTTATGGAAGCGGTGTTTGTGTGTGTGTGTGTGTGTGTGTGTGTGTGTGTGTGTGTGTGTGTGTGTGTGTGTGTGTGTGTGTGTGTGTGTGTGTGTGTGTGTGTGCGCACGCGAAGGTGTGGCTTCAAGGGGAACGTCTCCATCACGCTGCTATCATCAAGGGCTTCTCCGTCAGTCATTAGGTCAACCTGCAACACACACACAATGTTATCAGTCATTATCACTGACATCACTTCCTAATCTTAAAAACATACATTGTAACTTGACAATTATCCGCTGATAAATTCACATTAGCAAGACCCAAGACTCACCACAGAATAACAGAATATAACCTTGAAAACCAAAAATATTTCCAGCGATGGGTATATATATATATATATATATATATATATATATATATATATATATATATATATATATATATATATATATATATATATATATATATATATACCCATGCACTCACTTCCTGTGGCAGGCGATTATCCTCCTGCGGGTGACTGGCTTGAGCAGCTGCAGGTCGTCCTCCCTCAAGTAAGAGATATCTGTCACGCTGTGAACCCCGATGGCTTTCAGGAACCCGGAGACGTGGGTGAGTCCATACCAGGCCAGCCAGCCCTCCAGCGAGCAGTCGGCCGGTGGCGCTGACGAGGGCGGCAGCGGAGGCACAGTGAGATTAGAGGCAGGAGAAGGTGGTGACGACGTTGTTGGGGGTTGGTGAGGGGAGGGAGAGGGGTCCGGGGAGGGGAAGGCTTGTAGGGATGAAACCCGAATGGTACGGGAGAGGCAGGAGTCGCCGTAGGTGTGGTCTGTGGGGTAGTGGGCGCCGGGTACATGTGGGGTGGGGGAAGAGGGGGTGGGGAATAGTGACGGGTGGAGGGTGGAGAAGATAAGTGGAAAAAGGGGGAGCAGAGGGTAAGTTGAAAGATGGGGAGCAGGGGGTAAGTGGGGAAAGGGGAGCAGAGGGTTGGTGGGGGAGAGGGATATGGAGGGCTTCCGTAAATTATTGGTTACTGAAAAGCCGGACGGTTGCGGACGGTTGTAATTAGGTTCGGATCCTCAACCGTACGGACAATAAACGATCAGATCCGTTGCTAGTCAAGAGGCCAAAATTCTGCTCTTGTGGGATTGATAATTAGAATCTTTAGACCTCTTGAGACAGAAGAGATATTCAGACAATTCACTTTCTATATTTTTAAATACAGGATCAAATCTTCTATCTCTCGTAAGATTAAGAATCGTATTTGCTACGTTTTATGAAGTCATAAACCAAGCAAACCCGTCCAAACAAAACAACCATCTTTCTACAAGGACAACAATTGGTTAAGGAAACAAGGACAAGCGGCCGACACTAACAAGGTGGACAGATCTAAGTGTGGTTTTCAAGTGCTTGGCTGACTTCAGCAGCAATGATAAGCAATTTTGAAACGTAATTGATATACACAAAATATACTCGTAAAGTAAATATGACGAAAACTGTATTGATTTTTTTTAATGAATGCAGGAAATAAAGTTATAGAGAATACCGACAAATGTACTTTTGAGCCAACTTCATATACAGATACTATACATATAAAGATACAGTCGGCTACAGATTACATTATCTTATATTCATACTATTATATCAAACCCGTGTCCCAGCCCGCTGCTGCCTCCCTCCTCACCTTCATGGTGGAGGTTGACCGTGTCCAGCTCCTGCAGGAGGCGTCGACGTGAGATGAGCTGAATGGCGTCCAGCTCCGGCTTCTCCAGGAGCCGCAAGTCCCTCACGCAGGTACAACCCAACACCCGCAGGTAGTCGGCCAGGTGAGACAAGTGAAGCTTGTCCAAGAATTCTGTGGAATAGGTAATTATCAGAAGAAATTATTAGCCCTGTTCCAGTTACTGTCACTTGCCCCTTCCTCTACAGCCATGATATGAGAAAATACTAAAGTCGTAAAATGGGATCGAACTCGCGTCCCTGACCTTATCAGACACGTTCTTGTGAGTATTGTGTGTGGCATATCTATTAATGAATTACTATGATCATGTTGATCTAATGGAAAGGGCATGACAGAGAAGATTGTTTTACAACAAGTTTCCCCCAGTCGCTCTCAACCACTCTTCAGCTCACCGTCAAGGCATTCAGTGCTGGGTGAATCCTTGTGGTGGTGTTTTTCATGTTCCCGCTCGAAGTCCTCGCCGCCGTGGCGCTCCTCGCACCCTTCCCCGTTCTGGCAGCCCTCCTGGTATTCTCCCTCCATCTTCTGGTTCCAACGGTAACTTGCGTGGAATTTGGATGTCTTGCCGGCAGCGCTCAAGGCTCTCACCCAGTCACGGTGGCAGCCACAGGGATCTTGTGCCTGCTTCGGTTCGTCCTTGGTGGATTCCTTGCTGGTTTGGGCAGCGTTGGAATCCTTGAAATGGCTTGGTTCTTCTTTGGTAAAGTTACTTTGTGTAGGAAACCTCTCCTCTTCGGCGTTTGTTTGTGGTTCTTGTTGTTGAAGTTCTTGGTCGCTGAGTTGAGTTTCTTCGAGAAGTGTTGAGTCACTCTCTTCTCCTACACACGAATCCTTGTAAGTGTTGCTGCAGTTGTCTTCTACAGTGGCCTGGGGCACGGATGTGGTCAAGTTACTTGAAGTATCGCCGTCGCACCTTATGCAAGATTCCTCGAACTCAAGCTCTTGGTAGCTCTCAATAAGGTCAGTTTTCTTTATATCATCCGGGATGTCAGGCTCTGATTCCTCCTCGTTCTGGTTCCTTTCTGGAAGAGGCTTGATAGTTGCAACTGGACGAACCTTCCTTGTTAGAGGGTTCTGTGAGAGAGACAATAACTAATTAGTAAAATCAATGGATGGAATGTTACTACGATATTTACTGCATTAAAAAATACCAAATCGATAAAAATATTTATATACAAATTTACTATAAACACAGGAGGGAGTGAAGCAGAGTTGAATACTAGCCTGAGAGAAGCGTGAGTCGAGGCTGGCTGCGAGGTGTGGTGGCGGACGCTCACGGGATCGCCCCCTCGTCTCTAACGTCACCTCGAACTCAAGAGTTCTTTCAATCACCAACTCGATAACTGGAATAGTGAGATAATGACATAGTACCTAGTACCTCTGACACAACAGTACACAATGTCCACGTCAACCTTGCAAAGCTTCTAATCACATTATAATGTAACCCCGAAATTGTGAGATTCGAAGCTGCACAGGCTTCATACAGACACCAGTCTGCAAAAATCAGTTGTTGGATCTGAACAAGTTAATGACCACTTTCAAACTAAATACGAAATGCGAAAAAGTTCTTTGAACGTAAGGAAACAAAGTTATTGTTTCATGAAGACGCGACCTCCGGATATTTACAAGTCGTCTTCGTCACGACAAATCCTCATTTATATCTATAAAACAAAGAGTCATTCCACAGTTCACTGGTCTGTTCCTTCACTGACCGATCCTGATGCCGACAACGCGCTTAATTGTTGACACAGTCCAACACATGCACAACAAGCCCGTGTTGGTAGCACTGATCTAAAGTAGACTCTATCTAATGCAGGAACCTAAATAGAGATCTACCCGGGAAAGGACCTACCTGAGAGAGGTTAATATATCTCAAGAGAGTCACTTTGAAGAATACATATCTGAAGGAGGAAAACTTCCCTGAAGCCGAGAACCTAAATGAAAGAAAAGACCTACCTAAGGAATAGTAGTAGGGAAACGTACCCTGAGGTGGAAGACCTACCTGGAAGAGGAGGATCTACTTGAGGTTAAACAACACACCTGAAGGCTAAGGACCTACCTGAAGGAGAAGGAGAGTCGGTGGTCGCTAGATGCTCCATGTCCCACCGCCAGCTCCCTTCATCTTATATATGTGAGGCGTGTCTGGCCGCCAGGGAGACTGAGGCCTCGGTGGAGCCGGTCACGGAGGAGACGAGGTGAAGGGCAAGGGGGATGGGGCAGGAGGTGGTGAGGGGAAGGCGGCCAGGGGGGAGGGAGGGAAGAAGGGGTGGGTGGGTGAATGGTAGGGGGTTGTCAGGTAAGGAAGGGAAAGAGGGGAGGGAGGAAGGGGTGGCGGGCGCGTGTTGCAGGGAGGGGCAGGTGAGAGGGGGTGCGCCTGGCGCCATACACCTGTCATACAACCTACTAAACAGGACAGTGCTCTACCACATCGTCAAGTAGGGCTGTAAACGTGGCCAGCCTCCCTCTCTGCTTCGACCATGTGCGTCACACCACTCAGATCATGTTTGTCCTTTCAATATGTCATTTGATGGCGAATATTAAGCCTTGCCTCCTGCTCATCTTCCTCCTCTTACTCTTCCTTCTCCTCCTCCTCCCCCTTGTTCCCTTGTCCCAGTTACTTGTGTACGTGCTATTCAGCTTCGCCATAAAGCCCTCATCTAAGCCAACTTTCACCTGACTCATATTTCTAGGACCCAGTAACTCTTCTTAGCCGATTACTCGTTCTTATGCACCTCTCTGCCTCCATCTTTACCCCTCCCCCCCCTTCCCCACCACCCCCCCCCTCCACCCCTCCCCCCCCTCCTTGAGCCACAACGACCTCACGCGACAAACGGAAGTGCGCGCCAAATTGCTTGTGACAGATGAGGAGTCACGTTCTCCCGTCTGCTTGAAATACTCTCGGTGGAGTGACACCGCTGGTCTGGACACTTAGTGTGTATTTACGATTTGTGTCTGCAGAATCGAGCTATTTAGCTCTTAGGCCCCGCCTTTCTAACCAATCTATTTTTTCCTCTATTATGTCTACTACGTATATTTATCTGTAACACACACACACACACACACACACACACACACACACACACACACACACACACACACACACACACACAACAGGAAACATGCGGTAACAGCTGTCTAACTCCCAGGTACCTATTTAGTGCTAGATAAACATGGCCATCAGAGTGAAAGAAACTGCCTATTTGTTTCCGCCTTAGCCGGGAATCGAACCCAGCCCATTCGGACTACGACCCCCGAGCGTTGTCCACTCAGCCGCGACAGGGGCCTCGTGTGTGTGTGTGTGCACTCACCGACTTGTGCTTGCGGGGGTTGAGCTTCTGCTCTTTGGTCCCGCCTCTCAACCGTCAATCAACTGGTGTATAGGTTCCTGAGCCTACTGGGCTCTATCATATCTACATTTGAAACTGTGTATGGAGTCAGCCTCCACCACATCACTTACTAGTGCATTCCATCCGTTAACTACTCTGACACTGAAAACGTTCTTTCTAACGTCCCTGTGGCTCATTTGGGTACTCAGTCTCCACCTGTGTCCCCTTGTTCGCGTACCACCCGTGTTAAACAGTTTATCTTTATCTTTTATTTTTTTGTATTCTACCCTGTCAATTTCTCTGAGAATTTTGTAGGTCGTGATCATGTCTCCCCGAGCTCTTCTGTCTTCAAGCCAAGTGAGGTGCAGTTCACGCAGCCTTTTCTCGTAACTTATGCATTTTAGTTCTGAGACTATCCTAATGGCTTGCCTCTGAAAGTTTTCAAGCTTCGCCTTGTGCTTGACAAGGTACGGGCTCCATGCTTGGGCCACATACTCCAGGATTGGTCTTACATATGTGGTATACAAGGTTCTGAAAGATTCCTTACACAGGTTGCTGAAGGCAATTCTGATGTTAGCCAGCCTCGCATACGCCACTGATGTTATTCTTTTGATGATGGCTTCAAGAGACAGGTTTGGCGTGAAATCAACTCCTTGATCTTTCTCTCTGTCCGTTTCAAGAAGTACTTCATCTCCATTTCGGTATCCTGTGTCTGGCCTCCTGTTTCCTCCGCCTAGTTTAACTGCCTGTGTTTTGTGTGTGTGTGTGTGTGTGTGTGTGTGTGTGTGTGTGTGTGTGTGTGTCTGTGCGCACGCGCGCGCGCACACACAGTCCAACATCTGCAGTCTAATCAAATGACTTGACTCGTTCGTATTATCATTCGCTTTGTTTATTTAAAACTATGTATTGTGTCAGCTCGGACAAATTATTCAACTAATCCATATATTGTATATTTACGGCTCTTACACTCGAAAATTTGTTTTTGACATCTATGTGTCTCCAGTTTGCACGTATCCTCGTTAAGACGAGGATACATGAGAATGCATAACATTAACTGAACTGTTTTTTATGTTTAATCTTAGTTTTTTCTTGACTTTTTTAAAGGTGGGTGCCAAGAACAGATGACCTTTGACCCCTGTTAGCAGGCTGAGAGCCGTTCCCTTCCCCCTACCTCAGGAGGAGCCTTGCCCTTCCTAGTTTTCCCTGGAACACGACCCGCCATTCGGTTAATAACCAAGTACCCAACTACTGCTGGGTGAACAGAGGCGAAGAGCTGGTGCCCAGTCAATCCTTAAACTCTTCCTGAAGAGAGTTCTCGTCCTGGATGGCCGACCCCAACATGGAATTAGTCAGTCATCACGTACTGATCAACCTTAACTCAAGTCCATTCCATCCAGCGGTCGACCCCAAAGACGCATTCATCAATTTTAACATTCTGTTCATTCTAAACAGGAATTTTCTCAAATATTTAGTTATATTATTATATATTAGCATATTGTGCATATATGGGCATAGGTTAGGTTAGGTTAGGTTAGGTTAGGTTAGGTGTTTAGGTTCTGTTGGCGAGTATTTGTATTTGTAGTACGTGGGTGAAGCATTTACAGCGTTGTGGTTCGAACAAAAGACGTCAGTGAAGCACTTGTTCCGGAAGTGTTCGAACGAAATCAGTTGTGAGTCGTGTGTAAACCGTTTTTCATTCATAAACAGCGGGTCTGGCGGGTGGTTTAACTAGCATTTGGCCTTTGTTGATGAAGACATTAAATGGAAGGAACAATGGGAAAATGTTGAATAAGAACTTATGACGCTGTAAAAGTTACATGAGAAGTATCATGACTGCGACATGCAAGATTGGTAAGATTATTTAGAGTAGGCAGAGATACAGCAGAGTAAGAATCAAGAAAAAGATGCCTTGGCGGCAGCTGGAGACTCAGTGGATACAAGGAAACATTTCGTCAGAGTAAACGACATGGGTTACACTGGGAGGAGAGTTGAAGTTATAACAAAAGTTTGCTCCATACACAGACTCAGTCGTTGTTACTTTAGATTCAGCTACTCGCAACAAAAAGTTCCAAGTAGCACTGGCTATGGTGAGCCCGTGGTTCAGACTCAGATACAACAAGCCCCCACAGAGCTGCTACACTGTACCACCGACAACAGCACCCTACAAGCTCACATATATGGAATTCACTCACCACTTTGGAGTTTACAGATCTAGCCTGAGAGGCCATCGACCTGTGAGTGGCGGGAAGAAAGGTTCATGAAGCCAACAGGCAGGCACGCGGTCATGTGCTCCCCCCCCGACCATAGTTATGGCCACAGAAAACGGGATCAATGTTATCTTTAGCGAGGTAGGAAGCGCTGCCTTCCACTCACAATGTAAAAAAAAAAAAAAATTCTTCATAGCTGTCTACAAGAATGCGGAGAATCTATATCTATTAACTTCTACTAGTGTCCTGTATATTTTTAAAAATAATATTCTATATTAATATTATTATACACCAAGAACTTCAACAAAACCTTGTTGATCTGAGGCACAGGGAAATCTACAGCAGCAGTTCCATCTATCATCACACTATCATGCAAGAAGCGCCACACATCTATAGATCATGCCATACAATCATGAAGACTCCTAGTTGCTACTACAGCTCGGCTCAGACTCCGTTATCACTATCTGTGAATGTGCACTGCCTGCTAGTTTTGTGTCACCAAAATTATTCGTACACCTTCACTATGTGATAGTGTGCGAAAAGATACGTGAGTTTAGAGACAGTTCTAGTAAATATTCACGAAATGTGTGTGTGTGTGTGTGTGTGTGTGTAGAGGAATGCAGACGACACACCCTAGCGACAGCAGCACCAGGAGCTACGGGATGGTACAAGACCTCAACTGACTACGAATTACTTATTTCAATGAAAAGTAGCAGTAGAACACCGCAAGTGCGCTCACACCGCTTCAGGCTTGGGCACCCAAGCCGGTCGGCCGAGCGGACAGCACACTGGACTTGTGATCCTGTGGTCCTGGGTTCGATCCCGGGCGCCGGCGAGAAACAATGGGCAGAGTTTCTTTCACCCTATGCCCCTGTTACCTAGCAGTAAAATAGGTACCTGGGTGTTAGTCAGCTGTCACGGGCTGCTTCCTGGGGGTGGAGGCCTGGTCAAGGACCGGGCTGCGGGGACACTAAAGCCCCGAAATCATCTCAAGATAACCTCAAGATAACCCAGGTGCATGGCCTACAGGCTTAGAAAAAGAAATATCAGCATTCCGGAGAAATGGCCGACACGCACCACTGGAACATTACTCTAACCAGACCGTCCTCTCGAGTGTTCACAACGTCACTAAACTAATGTACTAAATTGCCCGAACCTAACCTCATCGCGGACCCGCGAGCAGAAAACGGGACTTCATACCAATTTTGCGAGCTGCTATGATTTTCTAGTACATAATTTTTGGGGGGGTTAAAGTTCAAAATGTAATGTAATATTCGAGAGGGCCGGTTGGTCGAACACAGTTACAAATAAATATATATATATATATATATATATATATATATATATATATATATATATATATATATATATATATATATATATATATATATATATATATATTTCATTGAATATGACCGCATATTCTGTATTTATTATTTTCTGGTTTAGGGCTTCTATCCCTCTAACTATTTTCTTAGCATCAGGGCTTAATTGAAATAGGAGTTCTCCAAAACTCATTTTCGTACTTTTAAGGTGAAGAAAAGAAGTGATTTACTATAGAGTGTATTACACTTATTTGTATAATTTGCACGACGTTTCGAACCTCCATGGTTCATTCTCAAGTGAACAGATCTTACAATACTAGTTGATTTTATACCCGCATTAGGTCAGGTGATAATA